ATGCCGCCTAGCTGATTGCCGCAATGTCCGCCAAGGCCAATTTGAAGGCGGCCAAAGCAGCGCTCGATGCACAGGACTACGGCAAAGCCGTCGTAGAAGCGCAGATTGTGCTTGCTTCGGACTCGCAGAACTACTTTGCCAGACTCTTCCTGGCACGGGCGCTTGAGAAGCAGGAAAATTTCGACGATGCCGCGAAGACTTACCAAGCTGCCGCAAAATCCAAGCCGGGCGACAGCCAAGCATGGCTCGGCCTATGCAGTGTCTACGAAGCTCAAGGCCCCAAGAGGGTTGACGAGTACCGGGAGGCGGCTGTGAAAGCTGCCGGCGTCTTTGCCGACGCAGACGACAAGCACCGATGTCAAACCGTCGTGAATAAACTCACTTCTTTCGCCAAACAGCATGGCAGCACAGCGCAATACAAGCGCGTCCTGGAGGTGTCGCTACCTGGTAGTCCGGTGTACGAAGCCCTGGAAGGTCGGATTCCGCACCCTTCCCTAACCTACACGCGACTTGCAGAGATCACGGAAGACGAAGAGGCACAGCGAATTAAGCATGAGATCGGTGAGCGGCGCACCCGAATAGGCGCCAGGCTAGGCCAGGTGACGACGGAAGTGATGCGTGATGTGCTCGGAAGTAGCAGCCTGGAGAGCCTGTACCAGGAGGTCATCAACTGGTCCAATGATGACGAAGTGCGGAGACAGTATGAGGAGAAGTTGCTGCAGCGTGCCTACGATCTGCTTGTCGTTATGCCAATTGAAAACAAAGCCAGAAAGCTCGACCAAGTATTGACACTCGCTGAGGGTATGGTCATCATCCGCCATCCTTTCCAGCTCGCCTGGGACCTGGTGCTGGAAACGAGAGACATGGACGACTTCCGCGATCTCGACGTCCATATTCTGCGCGAGTACGTGTCATTCTTTTCGGAAGCCGGGCTTGCCAAGGTCTTGCAAGCATGGCTCAGCAGCGAGCTTTCCCCATTTCCGCCGCCGCCGAAAGGCGAGGATGATGCCGAAGACGCCGTCAAGCCGAAGGAGACGACCCCGGAAGACCGACTACTACTCATGACCGACGGCCTGTCGAAAGGCAGTCAGTCTGCTTTTGCGCACCGCTTGGTCACTGACTACTACCTGCACCTAGAGGAGCACGAGAGTGCTGCCGACACAGCTCGCATTGGTTTAAAGATCATCACGGCAGAGTCGCAAAAGCTCGGCATGAGCATGCAGAACACGAGAGACGCCTTGAACAGTACCCTTGGGACAGCGCTCGTGCACTTCCAGGCTCCCAGAAACCACGGCGAAGCCAGGAAGTTGTTTGAAGACATCCTCTTGCGCAAGCCAATGTCTACACCGGCCCTTATCGGCCTTGGTCTGATCTTTGAAGAGACTGAGGACTATGGAGCCGCCATCGATTTCTTCATTCGAGCGCTGGAGCAGAACAGCGGCAACATCCAGGTGGGCACAGAGCTTGCGTGGTGTCGAGCTCTGTGCGGCGACTACCGCCAAGCACAGCAAGAGCTCGAAGCCTACCTCCCGTCCCTCAAAGCTGACGACCCACGCGCTCGAGATCTTAGGGCGCAGGTCCTGTATCGTATCGGGCAGTGCATCTGGAACATCGACACTTCGAAAGCCGCCCGTCGCTCCCGGGACGGCGCATACGCCCGCTTCCTCTCTGCGATCAAGACCAATGTCAGCTTCGCACCTGCTTATACTAGCCTCGGCATATACTACTCTGAGTACGCCAAAGATCGGAAGCGAGGCCGCCAATGCTTCCAAAAAGCCTTCGAGCTTTCATCTGCGGAGACGGAAGCCGCGGAGCGCCTGGCTCAGTTCTTCGCCGACCAAGGCGATTGGGACATTGTCGAAGTGATCGCGCAGCGGGTTGTCGACTCTGGCCGAGCAAAGCCGCCAGTCGGGTCTAAGAAGCCCGGCTTGAGCTGGCCTTTCTCGGCTCTCGGAGTCGTACAGATGAACAGACAAGACTATCAACAGGCCATTACTTCTTTCTTGGCTGCCTTGCGGATCAGTCCGGACGATTACCAGTCGTACGTCGGTCTTGGGGAGAGCTACCATAACTCCGGTCGCTACAACTCTGCCCTGCGCACCTTCAACCATGCACTGGAGCCGCCGGAGGGTACACAGATGAAGCGATCTGGCGAGACGTGGTTTGCCAAGTACATGCTTGCGAATGTACACCGGGAGCTTGGTGAATACGACGAAGCCATATCGCGGCTAGAGGGTGTGTTGGAAGAGCGGCCAAAGGAGTTCGGCGTGCTCATGTCACTCTTGCAGACCTTCGTCGAGAGGGCTTGGGGATGCTTGGAGACCGGTCTGTACGGACAAGCGGTTGACGGTGCAAAGAAAGCCATTGCGATTGCCTCGATAGTGGCGAAAGCACGGCCGCAGGCGTTCAATATGTGGAAAGCAGTGGGAGATGCATGCTCACTCTTCTCTTGGGTACAGTCGGCGGTCGAACCCTTCCCGCAGGAGGAGGTGTCAACACTGCTCGACACTGCTGCGGGCGATGAAATGTATAGCCTGCTAGCTGACATTGACTTGGTGCATGCCGACGGCGCAGACAGAGTGAAGACCGACGGCGAAGGACTTGCCCCGTCTTTGCCCGGACCCCTAAAGGCAGGCATCTTAGCATACAAGCGTTCAATCTCCGCTTGCACTCACGACATCCACGCGCAGGCAGTTGCATGGTACAATCTCGGCTGGGCGGAACATCGCGCATACGCCTGCACGGAGGCCAAAGTGGGGAAGAAATATCTGAAGGCCGCCGTTCGCTGCTTCAAGCGGGCTATCGAGCTGGAAGCCGGTAATGCAGAGTTCTGGAACGCACTGGGCGTAGTCACCACCACGCTCAATCCAAGCGTCGCGCAGCATGCTTTCGTCCGCTCGCTGCACCTGAACGAGCTCAATGCTAAGGTATGGGCGAACCTTGGTGTCCTATACCTACTGCAGAACGACCATGAGCTGGCGCACCAGGCGTTTGGACGATCCCAGTCTACGGATCCGGATTACGCTCACGCTTGGGTGGGCGCAGGGCTTATAGCACTCCTGCTTGGAGAGTCAGGGGAAGCGCTGAACCATTTCACGCACGCCTTCGAGATCTCCGACTCCTCTTCGACTATCACCAGGCGGCAGTATGCGCTGTCGAGCTTCGATCATCTGCTAGCAACACAGTCGGCCTCGAACGACTTGACTAAGCTGATACAGCCCATCTTCGCGTTGGAGCAGCTCCGCACGCAGACGCAGCACGACCTGCCATACCGACATCTTGCGGCGCTCTTTTTGGAGCGTGTCGGGAGTCTCACTGCTGCGATCGACGCTCTTGCCGAGCTTTGCGCCTCCGCAGAGGCCGAGTATGAAAAGTCTGAAAGCCTGGCTGCGCTGGCCCGCTTCGCGCAGGCCAAGTCGGATCTTGCTCGCTGCCAGCTAGCTGCTTCTGCCTTTGAGCCTGCGGCAGAGAATGCCGAGACAGCGCTGGACCTCACATCGGATGTCGATAACAGCGGCCTCGATGCAGAAGCCCGACGTAAGCTGCGACTTTCCGCACATCTCACCGCCGGACTGGCCTCGCATAAGTTGCGGAAAAGCGGTGAAGCGATCGCTATGTTCCGCACAGCACTTCAGGAGAGCGGGAATGATCCGGACGTGGTGTGCCTGCTGGTGAAGGTGCTTTGGGCTCACGGGGGCCCGGAAGAAAAGAGTGTCTCTCGCGAGCAATTGTTTGAGTGCGTGGAGAAGCATCCGCAGCATGTGGGTAGTGTTACACTGCTCGGTGCCATCGCTGCTTTGGACGATGATGCAGACACTACGAGTGCGGTGAAAGATGACCTTATCAGTCTGCGGACCAAAGATGGACTTCTACCTACCGAGCTGAATGAGCTCGACGGACTACTGGCAGCGTTGGCCGGCTTGGGCAGAGACGAAGTTGGAGCGGAGAGCACTGAGCTCACCGAGGCTCAAGCGGCTACCCTGCTGACGCCGCATATCTCACAGTCATGGTCGGCGCTCGCAGAGTTGTCCGGAGAAGGGTACGCTGCAGCTATGGCGTTGAAGACGGCGCAGAAAGCGGTGCCTCCTGTTGGGAGCATGGATTCGGCGGCTTTGGCCACGGCCATGGCTGGCGTGGGCTTGGTCGGGGACGCACAGCGTGCCATCTTCTTATCGCCGTGGGTGGGAGCTGGATGGGATACCATGAGCGAGGCGCTGTCGTGAGGTCTTGTACTGCTACGATACATATGGTTTGCGCCGAGCGCCTCAAAAAGACCATGTGGGCTGTCGAGGAGTGACATGGCTGCGCTTTGCAGTGCCACGGAGATTGGAAGCAGGCAGAGGAATTCGGCTTGGTAGACGATCAACTGCGCCGAGTGTACCAAACTGTTGCTTGCTGTGTCGCCCATGAAGCTGATCCTGGGTGCTGGGTACGCATGGTCACACGTCGTAAGTCGACAGTGCCAACCCACGAACAAAGCTTTTGGAGCAACGATTGTCACGATAGCATGGTCATATCAATTTGCAAACCTTACGGGTATACTCGAATGCGGGCTACTGTAACTCCTTGTTCCAACGCCTCTCCTATCCTTTTCTCTTCCAGGTCTTCACTGCCTTACAAATATCAGCACTGCTTGACTTGTCGAGCCCGAAATGACGCACCCACACGACACCGACCCCCACAAAGACACCATCACTACCCCCAACGAAACCCGCCTCTCCATCAACGACCAGCCCCTCTCAGTCACACGACGCTCCATCTTCGCCGGAGTAAAGAGATGATGGCCCCCGGAGTATGTCGAGTGTGCCGTTGTGCTAGATGTGCGTGTGCACGTGTGCTGCCCGAATGGCTACTCATCCGTAGCTTGAGGTCGTGCTACTAGGACAGCAGAAGAAGGAAACGGCCGGGACTCAACTCATGCAACGACCTGAGTCGGAGTATCGTCGGCGTATCCTCACTGGCAGCATATATAGAGGCCATCACACCTGTTCGCCATCACAGAGCGATTGGTCAAGTGGTATGACGACAACCTCTCGAGGGCGCGGCTTGTTATACCCGGCATGGACAGTGCTTCGTCACGGTCAATGCTGAGTTGTATTGATTGCTCGTCCGAAGGTTGTAGGTCCTCGGTTCAATCCCGAGATCGCTCAATCCGATACCTTTTGGAGAAGGAGAGCGAGAGCGAGAGAGAGATAGAGGAAGACGGGAGTTGTAGTAGAGAGAAGAGCTGATATTGCTCCACGAAAGAGGAGAGAATTATCAGTAGATGTACGTTATACACACAGGAAGGCAGTCTCCTCATTCTCCTCTCCACGCCACTCAGCCCGATCCCTCTCGAGCACGCCGCCGCGGCTCTCGTGCAGCACGGCACACGTTCTCGGCGTTTGCGCGGAGCAGCCATACGCTCCATCCGGCAGGCCCCACAGCCTGCATGGCTGCCACTACTACTGCTACAGGTATATCGTCACATACTCCCCCCCATCATCATCGAAGTCCTACTCCACAAACTCCTTCACGCGGCCCAGCCAGCCCAAATACTCCCGCTGCTCCTTGACGTCAATGTACTCGGGCACGAAGAGCGCTAGGGCGGTGTTGATGCCGCGCACGTCGAGGTACTGCTCCATCAGACTCTGCACCTCCTCGTCGAGCTGCTGGAAGGGCGGGCCGGTGTACTGGGTTTCAGGGGCTTCGCGGAGGAGCTCGGAGGCGGACAGCTTGTTGTTGGCGGCCGAGTCGGGCAGGTGGGAGACGGACTGGATGGTGAAGACGCCGTTGTCGGCGATGAGGTTGATGCGGAGGGCGCCCTGTCATGAACTGTCAGTCTACATTCTCCAGATGCAATGCATGAGATGTGGCCGTACCTTTGCTTTCCGCTGCACCAGCACGTTGACGTTCGCAGGGAATGCCGGCTGGCCCTCTTGGTCGTCCTCGTCACTCCGCAGCTCGTCCCGGTCAGCCGGCGCCACGCTGTCCTCCGGCGCAATCTTGATGTTGCCGCCGCTCGTCCGGCCCTGGTTGATGGCGCCCTTGGTGTTGGCGCCGCCGCTCTGGTGCTCCATGATCTCCGACTCCTCCTCGTCCATCATCGCCTCGTCCGCCTCCTCGCCCTCCATCATCGGCGTGTTGAAGTCGACAATGCTGAAGGAGACGGTGATGTGCTCATCGTCGTACTTCCGCTGCAGCAGGACCTCCTGCACGCCCGCCGCGTCCACGATCTCCCAATGCGAGTTCTGCGACTTGAAGTTCTCAATGTTGCTGTCGCTGTCGGCTGGGCTGGAGTTCTCCTCGCTTTCCAGCTGCATCTCCTGGTTGAGCTTGGCCGCGAGTTCCTGCGAGGCGTCATCGAAGCGCGGCAGCGAGGTGGTGAAGCATCGCGGGAGTTGTGCTGCGCGTTGTCGGAAGGCGGTTTGGACGGCGGGTCGGAGGGTGGTGCGTGTACTGTAGCTGGCGATGCGGGAGGTGGTTCGGGGAGCGGCGCGGACAAGGGCGCGGAGGGAGAACATGGTGGTGGATAGGGTTATGAGTTTACTTGGAGAGTTGTTCAGGTCAGGTGGCGATGCGTCAGCGTTGATATGGATGGTTAGGAGGTGGGAGGCTGTGATCGTGGAATTTGTTCGAGATGGAACTCGTCGAGGAGCTTGGGCCGCGGCACCGGCGCCGGACTCCCGGAATCCATTCCGCACCCGACGACGATACCTTGTGTACAGCACCTTTCCAGTCCGCCTCGACTACAACGCTGCGTCGCGGCGAGCGCGACATCCGCTATGCCGTCGACATATGCACTAGCACTTGATGCTGCAGCGCTCGCCACTAAGTCGAGAATGTCGGCCATCGTGCGGTGAGGAAGGCTCAGACGTGCTACGGCGTGGACTGTGTGATGCTTCAAGTGGCGTGTCCTTACCCTTGGAGACAGGAGCACAAGCACCCATGAGCGATCAAGCTCTGCACCGTCTGTCACCGTCTCGACATCCGAGCGCTTCTGCTTGCAGCTTATGCCCGGCTCAAAGGAGCGCTGAGTTGATTTGATCCAACGGGGGTGCCTCGACCGTGTGGACCTTGACGCTGGCGATCGCCTGCTCTACCGGCACCAATAGCATTCTAGCCCTCATGTGCACCTCCACCTCTTGTGATCTGCGTCAGGAGATCTCGCAGGCTTCCGACTGGCATGACGTATGTAAGCTTTGCAGTGGCCTGTGCCTTTTCCCAACTCATACCATCTATCATGTCGAAACTCTCAGCCAGAGCGGGAGTGGTGGGAGCCAGCCACTGATGGCGAAATATCATTGTCCCGCCGCTGCGGACCACCAAACCTCTACACTGCCATAAACAAAACAGAGAATTACGCAAGCAGCCATAGCCACGGCGACAGTGCCCTTCTTCAACCCCTTCTCCTCGGCCAAATGCTCGTACCTCTGCTTGCTGCGAGCAAAAAAAAGCACGAGCAAAAGACCACGCAGTATTACAGGCAGAGGAAAGAAGCAAACGATGAGGGGGGCGGCTGTTTATATCGTCCCCACCATGAGTGTCTTGCCTGTCAAATTCGTAGGCTTCGAGTAGACACTGAGAGACATCAAGAACCGCGCTAGCACATACGCGAGTCCCGATTCGGTAGTAGCACAATGTGTCAAAACTGATAAGCGAACGTACCGTCAGTGCATGACCGCTACAAGCCATAACAACACATCGACCCCTAGCAACACTCTCCGCACGTAGTGATGACAGTGCGCTGGCCGCTGTCCGTTCTCTCGCATATCACAACTGACAACGCCCCAGCTTCGTCTTCGGGGGAGGACGGCGGCGTTCAGGCGCCTTCTATGAAACGGGGCAGGATTAGGCGAAGGGCATCATGAAGGAGAATCACGACGGCATGGAGAGGCGGAAAGAGCTACAGCGGCAGCAGGAAATGACAGAAGATAGGGCTCGTGAGCAGGCCTTGCGTATCCCAAGGCACAATGGGCCACTGTCCGTAGATTGGAGGCATCGCAAGACTCTGTATTAACATACTCCGCCCTAGGAAACGCTTCACGGTATTAAGCCTCTACTGGGCGGAAGCCTGGGATTCTGCAGGCCTGTGTGAGCGGGAAGCGCCAGCAGCGTCAACGCCATAGCTGCTCCACAGAAGGTGCGTTCGCGCTCGCAGTCGCAGAGATCTCGCTGTCATCTTCTGGGTTACGGACATTTGCTTTAGCTGCTGCAAACGTAGGAGCTCATTCCACGAGATGCTTCCGGAGCATCGGAATTTGCACCTCGGCACGCGGAACGGCTCTCGCAAGAGCTTCCAGTTCCATCGGTGAGAAGGCCGTGGGGCACGTTGTCGATCCGGTGTGACCACCCGGTGCCCGCTGAACGAAGGCGCAAAGTGGAGGTCGCCGATGGGCTCTATCAGCTTCCGATATCGCCTTCGGATTGTCATCAGCGATTTGGCAGACCGGACAGCTCTTTCGCAGAAGTTGCATACCTGGGACACGGTATAACTGATTGTAGAGACGAAAGCCGGTGTTTAGTTCAGTGGCATAGTGAGGTGACCACAGCGCATGCCTTTCTGCACTGCATAGCTCTATTGGACCGTGAGTCGAACGGCCGAACCAGATAATACAAAGCCAGCATGCCGGTGCAGCCCATCCACGATAAATAGATCGAAAAGGAAGTGAGGTCGATGGCCCGGTGCGAGCTCGGCTAAGAAAGCAGCCGTCGGCAGACCCGGCGCCGGGAGCGCACGGAAGCTCGCGGCTTTGACGATCCATGCATGCATTCAGCCTTGCAGAAGCTTTACGGCGCATGCCGCACGCGACAAGATGCGGTCGTAATCACACAGATGCTGTTGTTCCCCATCGAATCCTGGGTCGGCATGCAGTGCCTTTCACGATGCCGACAAATGCCATCGCGGAATCCCGTGGCCACGGCGGCGCGGAAGCTGCTTCATGGCAGCGACCGGGGTGACTCCGTACAGGCATAGCACGGCAACCGCTGCTCGTCTTCATACACGACGCCTGGGTGGACCCATCGAAAGTGCCGGCCGACCCGGCTTCTTCGGACGAGCAAACGTGATCTCAGTTATAGCTCACGGCTCTCGTCTCATCTCCACCTCACACCGTCTCCCTACACCCATACTGGAAGTGCGGACCGAGACAGCCCATCGACGTCGGCGAAGGATCTACAAATACCCGCGTACATACACCCAATGGGGACGGCTGGCAGGGTCATACCAACAGTCGCAGCGCTCCTCCTTGGAGCGCTGCCACTGGTTGCTGGTGATGGTAATGCAGCTATGAACATGTCGACGGGTGTCCAGAAGCTCAATCCCCCACAAGATCTCTCCATGAGCTACTTCAGGTACGGTCACCATGGAAGATGGATGCTGGCACACAGTACACTCATGATTCTGGCTTGGGTGGTTGTGTTCCCAGTAGCGATCGCCCTCAGCGCAGCGCGATCGCGGTACCACCTGCCCGCGCAAGCTGTTTTCCACATCGTCAACGGCCTGGGCTTGTTCACGGGATTCGTGTACAACCATGCGACGCCCGACCTATATACGAACAATGCACATCACCCAATCGGCTGGATTGTCACCTCGCTCACAGTGGTGTGGACCGCGGCGTCGATGTACACGTCGTACTGCGACTACAAGAGTACGGGGCCAGCGTCGGCGCAGGGACAGTCCAAGCTATGCCAGGCTGTGGCGCGGTACGCTAGACTTGGCGATTACAGCGACCAGAGTCCCCCTAGGCCGTCACGAGACTCTGCCATGGGTAGCTCTCGACAAAGCAGCTCCGAGTCGGTAGACCAGAAGCCGGAAGGGCCGCAGTCGCTGGCGGGCGACGAAGAGCAGGGCGAGGACGATGACGAGGAGGTGCTTGAAGGGCGAGGCTTTCTGGGCAAGACTCGGACGAGTCGCTTGGTCTCTCGCCATGTGCGGCGCTTCACGACGCCGAGTGTATCTAGGACCGTCCGCTTCAGTCAGATCGTCCTGGAGAAGCTGCTGTTGCTGCTGGGTTTCGTCGCCTTCACGACGGGCTTTGTGGTCTACGGTGGCATCGCGCACGGCTGGCAAGTCCTCTCCATCCTGGCGCACTTCATCAAGGGCGGCCTGTTCTTCTGGTACGGCCTGCTCACCCTGGGCCGCTGGATGGGTGCCTTTACCGAGTTCGGC